GAGATCTATGGTCTACGCTTTCAATTCATTCAATGATGTTACATCTACGCGTAACAATAATGACAGTGATGAAAACGGTAAAATATTAGATAAATTATTCTTCATGAATAAAATTTATAACTCGGCTCCAAAACCACGCAGACTGAAAATCTCATAAATAAAATGTGTCAATAGGTTCTCAATCATAACTTTCCCCATACTCTCAGCCTATTAGATGTAAAGATGGTACATTAATATTCTGTAAAATAAATCTTGGAAAATTAATCCATATCAGACATTGTCAGCAAGTACGGTATAAAAATTAATGTAAAATCGTAATATAATAAGATCTTTAAAATGTATTTAAAGCCCACACAATGGGCCTACTCTTTGTAAATTAACCGGTGTCTACTTGAAGCTATTCTATCTACTGTCAAGCTATTCTATTATATTTCGCGAGAATCATTTAAGACAATCGGGAAGTCAGGGAAATACAAGGATGAAACGATCTAGAGATCCCAGCAAAAATTAGAGGTTTTTGTTTCGCTCGCGCCGAAGAGACGAGAATACGCAGATACGATAAGACTATAATGAACCGAGCATGATTTTCGCGCCCTTCACCCCTTCCATTCCAACACACGTGACAAATGAGCGTTTTGCCAAGGAGAACGCGCATTTCGCCGATAATAACACGTCGGCGGGTATTCAGAGAGATGTGCGTAATTACGGGTGACGCGACCTACGACAGAATCGTCCGTGGATGCTTCTGCTGGAACGAGCATATGATGTATTCACAACCGCGCGCAACTTTAACCCCTTCTCGAATACCAGCGGCAATTTTACTCTCCTGCGAAAAATCTACATAAAAATTGTGGAAAGATATCTCCTTTTGAATTTATTAGATTGTTAAATTTATTAGATTGACGAAATAAAAAATTTAATAAACGTAGTCTTTGAAAGACGCGTGGTTCCCTGCAAGAGCAACAACTTTATGCAATATCTTACTAATAATAAGATAAATCGAAGCGTGATCTAGTGTTACGAGTGAAAAGAATCGAACCACTCCGTACATTGTCCCTCTAAAAGTAAACTTTGTCTTTGATCGAGTTAAATTATGGGCACTTCCTCGCACGTTTTCCGATACGCTTTGCGATCTGCATAATGTAGCCAGTGAGCACATTTTATCCTGTCGGTATGAAAGATATACGGCGGAAAGGTGGGCGCGGAAGGCGACTTTACGACTACGCGCGCGCGTCGATAGATACGACGAATAGAGAGGGATTTTCTCGGCAAGGATCGGACTTCGATCTGCTTTCACGAGGTCGACGTTAGAAAGCCGCGCGTAACGCGCGCTCGTCCGGGACCGATTCTTCGTCGATAGCGCGAGCGCGATGCTTAAAGATGGCCCGGCAGTTACTCCCGTTGCCGCGTTCGCCGATGCGTGATACGCCGTTGATACCTAAATCGCTGCGCAAATACGCCATGGACCGCGAAAATGATGCTAAGAAATCGGAAGAGAAGTATCTCAACCCGCGCACACCCGGGATTCTACCCTTCCCAGAGATCGTTGTTTCTCCCTTCTCTTCCTTTACGTCGCCACTCGAGCCACCTACGCATGTGTGTGCACAGCCACCCACGCTGCGTACAAACGCGCGGGGATCGTGACGATTCCCACGGAAAGAGGCGCGCGAGTTCGAATTATCTTTATCCGCCATGGAAAGGCGTCGCGTTCGGGCTATCTCTGAAGAAAAGGGTCGACGCAATCCGAAGAATTCAAATCGGTTCAGGCCGCGCGGCTATCGTATCTCTCGAAATTCTCGTTCGAGAAAAACGCTCCGGCTAGATTACGAGCGATTAAACGCGTCGATTTCGTTGGCTCCACGTACGGAGTATACCAATCTCAGAGTCCACCGACGAAGAACGAAATCCCTCCCTGAGCAGGGTCGCATCGTGCGTCGTAGCCTGAGGCCATCCTCTCTCGCTGGGTGCCCATTTTTCACGAGGTCTCTCTCTCTTTCCCTCCTCGTGTTCCTCCCTCCTGCCTCTTTCTCTCCCCCCCCTGACTACCTGGCTCCCTCCTTTTTTTTCATCTTTTAATTCCATCTTCTTCTTTTTCTCCTTTTAATCTCTCTTCGTGCGCGTAGCCAACGCCCGTTCTCTTCGTCGCTCGTACGGTTTCTCTTTTTCTCCTTCTTCTCCTTCTCCTCCTCTCTTTCTCTTCGTCTTTCCTTCTCTTCGTCTCATCACGCACACGCCCTTCTCTTCCATCCTCCCTCCCCACACAACATTCCCGCCTCGTATCTCTCGCTCTTTCAATCCCGAGTCCATCTCCGTTCACGCGACGACGCCAGCAGCAGCTTCGCTCTCTTCGGCATCTGGCGTCCAGCATAGACATCTCTTACCGCGTGCCCCGTATAAGAGAGAATCAATCGGACGTATATATATAAACTTCTTCTCTCCATTCCACCATCGACGATCTCCCTCGCGGATATCCTTTTCGCAATGGCGGTAGAAAGAATGAAGGAAGAGACGAAACGATAGAGCTCTCTTCTCCAAAGAAACTCTTTTTCTCTTTCTCTCTCTCTCTCTATTTCGTTCATCGCGTTCATCGGTGAGAGAGACGAGAGGAGAGAGTTTGATGTGTGCGTGTGAGCGTCTGTCTTGCGATGACTCGGGAAGATGCCTCGATCATCTAAGGCGGTTAGTTTCAGGCAAGGGCTTTCTTTATAGCGCGCGTAGCGATAGGTCGAATAAAAAAAATGATATTGCAAAATAAAAATGTAGACAGATATATCTAAATGTCTTTCCGTCTGACGATAGGCATCTACCATTTGGCTGATGCCTATTTAGCGCGTACATTCGGCGAGATGACTCTACGTCCTTCTATTAGATATCCCTTTCGGGTACGGTTTGGTATGTGGATATCCTTCTCAAGGTGGCAAGATAAAGAGCGAACGTTATAAAATCGAAGCGAGAGGGGCAGAGGGAAAGAGGTAGAAGTGGATGTTGGAGCTCAGATACGATAATCTTACGTGTATGCGTCCTCCTTTTCGTTCCTATCGCAGTCCTCCCCGGCTACCCTTCTCAAGGTAGTAAAGCCGAAGCGGGACAGAGCTACGAAAATGAAATCCGAAGTAAGAAGGACGCCGAGACGTCGGCGATAACGTACGTCTGCGCGGTCGTCTTCGTTCCGCTTGGAGATCTTCGACCGCGTGTATCCTTCTCAAGTTAGCAAGGTGGCTCGAAGCTGGAGAACTGGGGGGGGGGAGGGGGAGGGAGAGAGAGGGGGGAAGGACAGGGGGAGAGAGGGGAGAAGAAAGAGGGAGCCAGAAAGACGGCGGAGCTGAACGAAGAGAAATGATAATGCACGTGTGCGTACACCGCGATCGTCTACGTTTCTCCCGCAGCAACTCTCATCAGGTATCTCTCTCAGTTGATTGAACGGAGAGGAGGAGATAAAGAAGCAGCCGCGTTAGAGAGAGATGACTATAGAAGCTATATAATGCCGGGTGGTCAGGATCCCGCCTTGTTGATGATTCGATGTTCTGTTTGTGTCTGTGCAGCTCGCGGAGACGATGGCTCCATCCTGGTCGCACTCGGCGAGAGATCCATGAGGCTGTCTTCGTCACGTTGGCTACCTGCGACCAACCCCACTGCCGCGCCGCTCCTACCTGCACCTACAATATCCATCCGTCTCTTTCTCTCTCTCTCTCTCTCTCTCTCTCTCTCTCTCTCTCTCTCTCTCTCTCTCTCTCTCTCTCTCTGCAGCGTCTCTTATCCACTTGTACCTAGTGAGCGTCTTACAGCGACCACTCTCACCGTCCCTCTCGGGAGAACACTCGGAGCGGAGGAGAGAGGAACGATGACTCGGAGGAGCTCGAGGGTCCTCCACCATTCTCTTCATCCTTCTCTCTTTCTCCCTCAGAAATGGGAAGGCAAAGAAACGGTGAACGGAAGAAAGAGAAAGAAAAAAACGCAAACACCGAAGGGAGATAGTCTCGAAGGGAAGGCGTTATGCGGTGCTCAGGTAAACGGAAGAGCGAGAGTGAGGAGAGGAGGACGAGGCTCTGGAGCGAGGGAGGCTGAGAGGCCGTAGACGGAAAACATGCGAATGGGGACGAGTGGGAGAGAGAAAGAGATCGGGGGGGCAGGAGGCAGAGAGACGCGCGAGCGTGTGTGAGATGCGAATGGAAGGGAGGGGGGGAAATCCGAAGCACGGAGCTAAGAGCGTGATGCTGGGAGGCGGCGGTGGCGACGGCCATATTGCCATATCTCGAGAGGAAAGAACGACCCGAGAGAGCACCGTGAAGCTGCTGGGTTTCGTGGTCCAACCAAAAGTTTGAGCGGTTAACTCACCTGTTGCTTCAGACGGAGTTAGTGAATTCTAGTCTCTTTTATGAAAGACGACAAATTCCGAGAAGGTCTTTTGTTAGTTTAGTTCGGTTCCCAAGTTTCTAAGTTTGTCAGTGATTGTACGTGACGGTAACGTGCGTCGTCGTCGTCGTCGTCGTCGTAGTCGTTGTCGTTGCGCGTAAACGTGCGAGTGTGTGCCAAGCCGGTGCGCGATTATACGGCTGAAAGTATAAACAAGATACGGAAAAGTCCAACAGGATCCTAACAAACTGATTCGTAGACAATCAAGCGGTACGCTAGTGCAGAACGACCGAATGTGACATTCGAGATTTGGAGCAAAATCAACGTAATAATGTGCACGTAGTGAGTCGCGGTTGTGTTAGCAGGTGAATAGACGGTGCTCGAAGTAGAGCTTCTTACCGAGATATCTCTCAGAACCAACAGCTTTACCGGTGAAGAACGAGAAGCAACCAAGTGTGTGGGCCCCCGAAAAAGGGTGCCCTCGAGAAAAGATAGTCCCAACATCAGCGAATTCGCGAAAAGACGAGCGCCTCGGTCCATAGAGAACGTGGTGACACTATTATCCGTTGAGATGTGATCCAGAACATAGGAGGGACACTCAGTAGTTTGTAGTTGGTCCCCATCTCCCCCCTCTATCACCCCACCACCCCACTAGCCCCCTCGTGACTTCTACCACCTACTCTACCTCCCCCTCTCGTCTCCCCTCGTACACATGCACGTGTGATAAATCCACCTCACCGGTAAAGCAACCACCACCGGATCAGCAGCTTTTGATTGCGCCGGCTGCTGTACCACTCAACGACACTTCTCCCTCCCTTCTAATACGATCCCAACGAGTAAGTATTGTCTTGACATCGTTGTTCGTTTTACTACGATAGTCTAGGCCTTACTATAGGGCACGTCTTCGTCAATAGCCAGAGGCTACCTGCGCGATGTCGCGCAGGTGTCGCGCAGGTGACTTGCCGGTGAACAAGTGAGCGCGAAGACGCACGGTCCATGCGATATCCTACCGATGAAATGCTTCGTACCTTCTTTTGACTTATCTGTAGCCGTGCGCTTATTAACACTTGACGTGTTGATACTTTGACGTATTTTATCTTTTACAATACCGCGATGCCGGCTATTAGAATAATAAACATTCCTAGATAACTTTTTTACTGGAAATATATCATAGAAATGTAAGAGTAAGCATGCATATATTTATAGAATTATACAAACGATTATGCTGTTTTTTAACAAACAGAAAGATTCATAGATAAACGATTTTTATAACACAATTCCGTTTTGCTTTTATCATTGTACTAGAATTCAGCATAAACTAATAATTGAAATTAACGAAAAAATATATGCATTCTCGTTACCACAGATATAATCAGAAAATTACAGTTGCTTTTGTTATCATTTAATTCTCTTTAGTGTTATATGAATACAAGTGGCGTATACACGTGGATGAGTACTCGGAGAAGTGTGTCGTTATTGCATAATTCTTTTTCAGCAACGAAACAACCGAGACAAATACGCTTTTGGAATTTTACAAAAGTCTATAAAACTTCTATATTATTTGAAGTTTATATTTCATTACTGCATACACAAAGGTCATCCATCAAAATCGATACAAAGGTTGAAAATGAAAAAAATAATGAATCGTGATTGAACAAAAACAAACAAAAACAAATTGTTGTAACGTTGATACGTTACAATGGTACGTTCTTTACGTACCACAGGTAAAGAAAAATCCTTTCGCATTACATTAAGTTCCATTTGAGAATAGACGTCGGCACCGTGTTCAAAGGGAATCACCTGGAACTCTCACTAGATCTCTAGAATTCACTCTCAATACACTTGACGGCAACCCGCGCGATGCATGGACGATTTTAACCGGCCGAATCGCGGTCGCCGCGACTGCAACACCGCGATACACACCGCCGCGGTGGCAGGTCTAGGATCTATCGGCGGCAGGTGCAACGCACGAGCGAGACGTCTGGCCGCTGATAGACACATCGCCTTCGCGACCCGTCGACGGAGGAAGACGCTTCCTCCTCTTTGTACGACTCGACGGAGTCCTCCGTTCTCCGGAGGCATCGTCCACTGACGCGAGGCGAGGGCGTACAGGTACTTGAAATACAAACGGACCCACGGTGGTGGGTCCAATCTGATGCAGGGTTCCCTTTGAGAATCAGGTTAGACCGGCTCCTCTGAACCTGCTTCTCTGGCTTCTCGTCTCCGGTTCGCGGTTGTATACCGGCCCCGTACGTACCTACTCCTTCTCTCCGGTTGCCCCAATCTCCTTCTTCCGCGTAGTAGGTAGATACCTACCTACCTACTTCCCGCCGCCACCCTCTTGGACGTATCTCTCTTCCTTTATGTTTCTCTTTCTCTCTCTCCTTCTCTCTTTCCAACAACCAGTCTTGTTCCTTCCTCGCGAACATCACCGCGTCTTCATTATTGACGACGCGCGGTTCGAGAAACGGAAAGAGACAGAGAGGAGGAGCGAGAAAGATGATGAGAACCAGCACCGTCCTGTGCGTTCACTCTCGATGGTCCGGCTTCCTCGTTACGTCTATTATTATACCTGTCTATCCGTCAGAGCAGTGCCCGCGAGCTGAATTCCAGTTTTACGCGCGCGCCCTCCTCCACGCGCGCCTACTCCGGCCGTAGTAGTAGGAGCAGATGGGCGAGTCGGAGAGACGAGCAAACCGACTGGTTTTGCTAACCATCCACCTGGACGAGACCGCGCGCGAGGACGTAGAATTCGCGGTGTCAGACTGGTTGACCGACATTCGCGCGGATCCTCGCCCGGCGATAAGTGAATAACGCCGAACCTGCTCGCTCATTCGCGCGCGCAGGTTCCGGTTTCCCAGTCGCGGGTGTACATGTCCCGCGTGCGTGAAGCCTCTCCTTCTCCTGCGAGCCACGTGGCGAAACCGAGACGCGGATTCTCCGGTTCTACTTGCTATGCGAAGAAAACATAGGGTTACCTGTTTACACTTGCGATTCACCCTAATAGTCGCCGGTTGATCTCATTCTTCCCGTTGCGCACCATTACTCGCAACCGGATAAATAGACAGAAATTTATTTATTACCAGTCATCGTAGTTATAAATTATTTCAGTGCTGAAAGTGAATAACAGACGTTGATAGATCTACCCTTTATGCGCCTTAGTTTGGTTTTATTTTTTGCAGGTTTTTACCGCCCGCTCTTCTTCGAACAACGTGCCATACAACCTGTCAGCAACCTGTGATATAATGCTCGATGCCTAAATATTTACATAGACATAGACATCTAGTCGAAGACTAGATCAGGCTGTAGTGTCTCACCGTCAACAGAGGACTGCGAGTACGAGAACTCAGCCGACCACACGCGTTTTAAACGGATCTAACCAGTACGAAGAGAGAAAAGAGAAACGGAAGACGGCGCCGGAGAATGTCGACGTGCACCGACGAGGCCGATAATGCACCCTGCACACTGTCTCCGGTCAGTTACAACAAACTCTCACTTTCGGATAATAAAACTTATTGTTAATGCCCTATAATGTTGCATGGTACACGTATTATTAGATAAAACTGTTTATGAGAATATCTCCTTAAAACAATAGCGTAAGCTCACAATATGCAGGCGAATTTAAATCAGACAAGCACCATGGTTTATGTTAAATATACAAAAAACGCACAAAAATGAAATTGACGAGTAGTCGGTAATTAAAAATCTGTAACAAATTTCTCTTTTATGACTAATATTTTATGTTTGTTACGTAAATGAGTACTAATAAAACATCTCTCTATTTCCATCCTAATTTTTCAAAGGCACTTAAAGAGAATATGGAAAATTTATTGTTTACTTCTTTATTGCGTTATATAAAACAAGTTATATATAACTGAATTAAGACAACAACTTGACATAATCTACCACATAGATTATCGTTTGACACCAGGTCTCTTTTTCTTTCTAACCATAACCTTTTTCCTCATTTAGTGTTCTTTCACTCGAACTACCTTTCTCGGTTTATCTCGACAGCGCCCCGTTGCGCAAAATAATGAGGATGCGGACCGCAGGATTATTAACGGTCATAAAAAGAATTTCTGGTGAACGTCTCTGGGACGCCAAGGTTTTTGTAAGATGTATGAGACTGTACGCAATACAATAATAAATCAAGCAGATATCAAAGGCTAATAATAATCTGTCAAAATAATCAATTTTACTAACTTCAAACTATTTATAAATTTTTGAAATTTCATGGTTTAAAAGCGAATATTAAACATCTAGGAAATACCTTGAAAGTAATATAGATCAGAACGAATTAACATTAGTATACCGAATTCATTGTATCACGAGACACGGTAGTGACTCGCGCCAAAATAAACAGCTGAAACCGCGCGCGCGCGCGCGCGCGAGACCGACCGTGTAGTTTCGTTCATAAGGCGAGTACGCAAGTTGACAGGTTGTAATAACTGCGATGCGACATATACGAGACAGACGGGTAGGCTATTATCTTCCCGTATAAAAGAACACAAAAAGGTAAACCCTACACATCCGTTAGTCTTACCCACACATATTTCACAATTTGACCCTACCTTCGATTTCGATAACGTCAGGATCCTAGACAAAGAACCTTTCTATTCAAGACGCCTTATCTCTGAAATGCTTTATATTAATCTACAGATGAATGGCATTAATTTGCAAACTGATACCGTACTCCTAGGCGACACTTATCTCCCGCTCCTAAATAAAATCAAAAGGTCCTAAAGACTTTATTTCCGTCTCATAAAATAATTTCCCCTTGTACATAGTTTTGTATTATTCACTTTGTTCGCACAACAGTCTCACACTTGTGTCCGTCATTTTCGTTCATAACATCGACACGAGCACACGTCTTTACCCAAATTACATTCGTTAATTAGACGATCGACAGACCGTTTCTCCGTTGCATTTTCCGTTGTAACATTTATTTGCTTGTAATACGCCGTTTTAATGCTACGCTCAAATAATTTTTTCTGACATATCATTTACATCTATTTATACAATCATATTCTTTAGTCAATTAACTTCGAATTCTTGTACCCGGCCAAGTATCCAGCTGACTTCTTGCATCAGACAGGCACAACGTGGCGGATTCTTATTTCTTTTAACCATAACTTTTCTTATACCTTGCGTTGACTCGATTTACTCACCACGCATATTGTTGTCCTTTTTCACATGAATTTTTTCTACACTGACCGATGCGATCTTTTAACTAAATATTACCGAATAGGGTCTTATCCTAAGATCGAAACATTTAACCTGTTATCTATCTTTGTTGAAATATATATAAGGATTTTTGTACCGGTAACGTCCGGTAACAGGCTCTCATTATTACCGTTTCTTTGTTCCCTTAATTTCATAGATTTGGAGCCTAACAAATTTATAATTTTAATAATTTACAAGATTTTTCTTTTAAATAAAGAACAATTCTTTTTAAAAGCCGTAATACTAACTCGACTATCCTTACAAGTACTATACAATCATATTTTATTATCACTTTATTTGTTTTAAGCTAAGATTTCTGTTATATCAGTTTCATTAATAACGCGAAACTTGTCATACTTTGAATTCCTCGACGATAGAAATCTAAACAACTGTTCAAGAAATATGTTACAGCTTTTACTCTCGATTGTAATATTCACTCATTTCCGATGCAATAAGACAGCAGAGGGTAGAAGAGCGCGCGCGCTTTCATGAAAATTTAATTCAAATCGCCGCGGGTAGCTTCGGCTTTTTGTAACTTGAAAGAGCCTCCGCCGGTCGAAAGTGAAATGCATTGATCAGCCCCGTTATTCGCGATACGACGCTCTACAATGAGAAGTACGAGGAAGGCGCGTAAACCGTTCTCCAAGAATTTTAATAGCTCGACAGGTTATGGATAAATCCCCGGGGGCACATTATGGGCCCATTTTAACTCCCAATTGACCGCAATTCGCGGCCTCTATGACGCGTATTGAATATTTTAAGACTAAAGAGCTTCCAACTTCTCTCGACTTCTTGTTTAACCGACAATAAAAAGGATATAAAGATCGCGACTAACGACGCGGCAACTCAAAAATTGACCAATGAGACGAAATCTCTTCTTTCTCTCTCCAATAAGATAGTCCTAAATGTAAAGATGAAAAAGATAGTCACGCGATGATTTGTGTAACATTATCACTGCGCCAATAAAGTACAAACAGCATAAAAATCGGGAAGAAAAAACGTTGCAACAAGATAAAACGTTTGAGCGAGGCAAATTTTTATACGAGGAATATCACAGGGATTTAAGATCTGTGAACGCTATACGGAGATTAATAAAAACAGTCATTTGCATTTTGCTCTCCTTAAGCATTGCGTGTAAATACGCGCGCATAAATCTCATGGAAAGACGAAAATAAGGACGACCCGCTTCGCACCTGCGTCTGGCGCCTTTTAATACGCGGTTAAATCCGTTTACGACAAGCATCGCGAGTGCACAAGCATACCGGGTGTTCAAGTAGCCGTGTAAATATTATCGCGCTTCCGGATCGAAAAAGAGAACGTGCGCCTCTTCATCGGGACATGGACGGCCGCGTTCGTTTTTCCGTTATTGTAGACGTGTACGTGCCGATATTCCTGCGAGACTTGGACATTCTAACTTGTAGAAACGGACTGTACATTAATCGTTCGTTCGGCCCTTTGTATACGGGATCTACGTATCTACCTGTGGGCAGGACTGGATGAAGGAAGAGATTTGCTGTGCGCGGTGATGACTCTTCAGATTTCTCGTACCTGATGGTCAAACGAAGGGAACCTTCGTCGATGATCGCGCCGTTCATTATGGAGATAAGAAGTAAAGGCTCTTTAATAGAATTCCGAGCGACTGGTCATTTTGTATCTTCATTAACTTTTTCGTTAACCGATTCATTATTGGGCGGTAGGCAAGAGAGAAAAAAAGAGGCAAGGAAAGTCTCTGTAATTCGTGCACGTGAGTCTTTTCTCGATTCAAATGACTCATACCCCCCAGTCGCAAAAACGAGATTGAAAGCGTGCAAGAAAAATGTATCGAGAATAAGCGTGCACGCCGAAATATTGTACTTGCGAACTCGCGGCAAAAAGAGTAGCGCCTGATGAATGGATGATAAGCGATAATCAACGATGACGTTAATTAAATAAGCAGTGCGACGGTGTGCGTGCAAGATTAATAAAGTTAAGTCAGACATTTCGAGCCTCCGCGTATATCAGAAGTTTGCGAAATACTTAATATCTATAGTTACATAAAAGATTGGCTGCGGCAACGTTCGAGCTGCAATATATCGAGCATTCGGCGAACAGTAGCGTAAGAGAAATTTCACTGGAATTACAATCGCTGCAATTTTTGTCGTAATTAACGCACTCGAGTCAAGACTAGCGTTTCTTACATGTACAATACTGAGAGCATTAACATCATAAAGTAATGAAAAACAAGCTGCTTTACGAGCTGTTGTCTAGACTTACAAAAGTACGCGCAAAACTCCAGGCACGGTCTGCAGCTAAAAATTTCCGATTCGCGTTTATCGTTTATCGAGAGAAAATATCTTTACGCTTGCTGGATTTTTAATTCATTCCATGGATCCATCGAAAGTTTTATTCGTCAATTCAGTTAACGGAATCGCTAAACGGAACGCACTGTATCGCGAGGCCGAAGACTAATAGACATCGCCAGAGGTAACGCAACGATGAGCGATAATGTTTACGATTATAAAAAGCGAATCGCTAGGATATTCCGGCCGTTACGGCAAACGGACGAGGATCGTACCCCTAAGACACGTACAGTACCGCGAAAGAAAAGCACCTAACGATTCCACGTATCTACATCCGCGTTGCACGCAGCTGCGTACCACGTCGCGATCGGCAATAACTGCACGTTGCAAGGGGGATGCGCGCGCGATTCGCAGCCTACGGCGGCGAACGGGTAAGAAACGAGAAACGACGTTCGAGTACCCGCGAGTTTTAGCCGTGGACGGACGGGCCATTCGACCGGCAGACACGTTGGACTACTGTCCGGCACGAACTCTCACGAGCGCAGACCGGCCGGCCAATTAACTGTTATTATGAAGGATTTCTTGCGTGTAAAGAGGACGCGCAGCATCCTAAACGAGCTGCCGCGCGACGGCGATCCGTAGGATTCGCGGTAGTCATTTCGAGCTACTCGCGAAATCGCGATCGTTTGTCTTGTTCGGGAGTTTTGTTCGCGAATGGATAACGTTCGGGCGATACGTGAGAAGCGGCCGTCATTTTGTATATTTCTGTGAAATAAATTTAACGATAGCGCTTCTCGTTAAGGGACGAGTCTTAAAACGGGCGGAACAATTGTAAAGATGCACACGGAGAGACTCTTTTTCAATCACAGTTGAGACTCTGCGACAGGCACGTGGTTTCAAAAAGCAGATGATTGGACAGCACTCCTATTGCCAACGAATCATTGTGTCTTGGCACTACATAGGTTGCTATTCCGTATCTCTATTCCTCATTCCTATTACCTGTGCTTTCCTATTGTGTGATAGGCTTAAATGTTAACCTACAAGTACAGCGATAACCTGCTTAGGTAACGCCGGAGGTCGTAAAATTGAATACTTCTGCGCCGAATGTCCGCTGCCATTTACATCTCCGTTGTCAGTCGTCCGTACGCAAAACGCAAAAAAAAAGAAGTAATGGATCCGCGCGCGGTTCCGGTTTCAACGGACCACCGTTGAACGGCTGCGCTCGATCCCGCTGGCCGGTGCGAGTGCGATAAATTTCATCGACTGACGTGGGATTAGATTTCGAATGAAGTCGGTACACGGCTGGGTATTCGCATCGCGGAGTACTTAATGTCGTGTAACGACCGCGGGAGGTTCGTGTCGCGGTCGCGGGTCGGGCTGATTAATGTCCCCGGCCGGCGTATCTGGGACCCCTGACACCGCCGATGGAGCGTGTCGCGGCGGGTTTGCGATGTCAAGGATAGCGCCTCGGTAGCCCCGACGACTTTAGGTAATGGATCCGCGGAGATTCCTAACGACATATCGGCGGAATTATCGGGGAAGCGGTCGCGCGGTCGAAATCCTCGAAACCGCAAAACCGCTCGCGACACGACGCTTTTTACGACGGCGTCCGCGCGATTACCGTTACATCGGGACCGTTTCGTCCATTAGACGCTCACGACACAATGCCTATGAGTCTTGTCTTTAAGGCCTACAAAGAATGTGCTGGCATAGTAAAATACGAAAATAAAATTGAGTTACAACGCTCCTCGCGTGGTTTCTGCGTGGCTCGAAGTAGCGTCGGCATTTCGAAAAGAATGAACACATAATGGGGTAAAAGTGAATCGTATTGTTAGAAGAGAATTTTATATAATAGATTAACAATTAATAATACACCGTTAAATTCGTAGTGGCTCAATGAGTAGTCGCCAATGCTCCTGCTCAAATGACGTTACATTTAATTATCCTGTGTAGTAAAATTTATTATTTTAACACAAATTGTTGTTAGAAACCTACTACATTTTTATTAGATCCATTTTATGGATTCTTTTAACTCCATTGTTTAATTAAATTAACGACATATTGAGTAGGAGCAGTGGTGACTGTTCATTGAGTTAAATTTAACGCTACAAATTTAACAGTGATCACACACACACACAATCTTCTATTTAATAATAGTTATTTGTGTCCAAAGAAAAGTGCGTATCCATCGGTACGCTGATATCAGAGATGCAATGAGTGTTCATATCTGTAATTACATTACGTAATCGGACTTAACGTTAATACGACGCGTTTAATTTACGTATACGAGCGAAAGATACAAATAACGCAAGAGAGGTCTCGAAAGAATAAAATCGTAAGCAGTTCTGCGCGTAAAAAGCAGACGAGAGGCGTGAAATTACGACGTTATTAATAAATAAGTTTGTCAGATCTGTATGCTAGAAAGTCATAATCGCGAGATAAACATTGTTACCTTGGCTCGCGGAGGCACGTGTGGTCTATTCAGAGGCTCGCGTTCGTCCATTAACGATTTTACCTGTACCCACCAACCGTATTTCACCGCGCTAATCCTCGCGCTTGATCGTAGAATCGCGATTATTCATCGGCGGGTGAATTTACGACGGTCAACACGAGGAAATGTAGGAACCGGTGACACTCGGGATTAAGTCCCGCGCGCACCGTAGAAAATGAGTAAAGGGAGAGAGGAGAAAAAAAGATGCTTTCCGAAGAGACCAGGAGACAGGGAATGAGAGAAAAAGAGTGGATTTTTGCGCCTAGGCTAACGGCGTGCGTAATTCACGCGCGCCTCCACGCGCGAGGTGCCTGAGCGCTCTAAGAGGATGATTCATAATATTGTTAATTATGTTAATTGACGGAACCCATCGCTGCGGCTGCAGGCTGCTGCAATATGCACGGGCCTTAATAGCATTGCCACGTCGCTCGCTGTCACGTTACGAATGATGCCGCGGTGACTGTGTGGCATCGGCCAGCTCTCGAGGTCTCGGAGGTTTTGCCAGGAAAAAAGAAAAGAAAGGACAGAGAGAGAGGGGGGGGGACTTCGCGCCATAACTTATGTTACTGGCTAGAAAGCACGATAATCCGGCGACACGTGGGAAATTCCAAACGACGTCATTACTGTACCGTATTCTTATTCATGCGGGTCGCAGGGGTTTCCGTGCGCGCCAACTTCGGGGATACTAGGATATAAGTGCATCAGTAAAGCGACCGTCGCCGTTTAACTGACCATTAAGTATACTTATGTAGGATATCTGTTTTACGAGTAATATATTTCCAGTAATAGTTCCAGTAAAGTCTCAAGAGACTTCCCTGCGCGCGACGTTCGACCACTTAAAGGAATCGCAGGGATTCCGTAATTCGTGAATAATTTCGCAATTTTATTGAATATTAAGCACGTAGGGAAAGCATCTCCCGAAAATTGGAATCTTACATCTCATATATTATAATAAATGTGCAATGAAGAGAACATTTTCACCCGAGAGACGGAAAATGCAACTGTCCAACGTACAACTTGCCGGTGCGTCTGGCTCAATTCGCGACTCGGTTTCCCGCGTGACTGTCTTTCGGAGAGCTCGGTGAAAATGTATCACGTAACGCGCGAACTGGGGGGGGGGATAATATAAATCGCGACAATTAAGTAATGCCGATGTCGCGCGGGGACGGATTCTCCAGCTTCTCGGAAATGAAAGCCGGAGAGGCACGTGTTGCCAATCCTTCCTGAATATCTCGGGCCGCCCGAGTCGAAATTTTGACCTTACGTTGAACCAACCTTTAATTTTATTATATAGTAGGACCTAAGACAGTAAAAGAGGTCGAACTGCAAGTACAAAATTTACTTCTACTTTAAAACCGATAGTGTCGGAAATTTCTACATTTGCTAATTTAGCTTTAAAGTAGTTTTACGTAGGAGCTAAAGTAAATTTTTAGGATTAAAGATTCAAGGGAGGAGTAAAAAATATAATGTCATCAAAGTAGGTTACTGCTGGTCTATGTAGGTGTATAGATCAGCTAAGTGGGTGTAAAGTATCCTTAAAAGTGTCAAAATAGTATCAAAATTTCGATTCGGGCGGCAGCCTCGCGATGGCGATCGTCTCGCGGCTCGCCGCGAGCGGACCCAGATCGCGCTCATGATCGTTTGATCTTTGAGTGCGCTGTAAGATTTTCTCGGCGCACGTGTGAGCGTACGGGCGATTAATTATGACGAGGGGATGTCTGGCGGTACGAAACGTCTCGCGCTTCGGACCGCGCGCGAAGATATTAATATAATTTCTATCCGCGGTGTTATTAGCATTCGAAAATGTTACAGGCTGTTGCAACATACGCGCGGCGTTGCCCGGGACGTCGGGAGCGCGCTCGGGCGTATAAATCCCAATGTCGTAAACCGTGCGCCTGTTAATGCGATTAATAAATTAGCGCCGGCCGCGCGCTGTGTTTTAATTCCGTTAGCATTGTACTTGTAAATGATTTAGTCCGGCCGCGCGGCGCGCACGGCCGGCACGCCGGCCGATGACGAACGCTGGTTTCCATTTCGGTAGGGAGAAAAAATGGAGCGCGATCGGCATTGTGCGCGCAAAGATCAAGGTGCCTCGTTAATACTCGATGTAATGCGACCATAATACCTTCGCTCGATTATGAGGCACATATTTCACAAGATCGTGGCGTTCTTTTCTTTCATTTTAATACGGCGTGATAAAAAAGAATGATGCTATAAATACACGTGGCGTGATACTGAAATCGTTGTACACGATCGTTGCACGGTGAGAACATTGGAATATCTCGACCGACGATGTCGCGATTACGCGCCGAAGCGTTCTAATCGGCGAATCGAAACTATGATATCGCCGGTCGCCGCGACAATGACCCTATCCATCTACGTTACAGGTGCAGGAGGCACCAGTCTCGCCGGCGTCCTCCTCACTGAGCAACCAAAATCAAAACGAGAACGAGCAGGTCCTGCTGGCGACCATGCAGCCGGTGAACGTGCTCCATCTACAAGGGCACGATTCACCGATTGTGCACACGCTTCACCCCAAGTACCATCATCATCATCACCGTCACCACCACCACCATCACCACCAGCAACAGCAGCAGCAGCAGCATATCCAGAGCAACGATTCGGATGACGTGCAGCAACGCGCCGCGGCCGCGGACGACTCCGACGGCCGCGTGACCCCCGGCGCCGAGGCGGCCGCCGCGGCCGGCAACACGGCGCTCGGCGAGGACAAGATGATCGACCTGATTTACAACGACGGGCAAAAGACGGTCATGTATACCCACGACAAAGAGATCATCTACGAGAACGACGCGGAAGTGCAAGTGGTCGAGTACCCACCGCCACAGCCGTCACCTCCGTCGCCGTCGCCGTCGTCGGCCGGTGTCGCGAGAACGACCGGCCTGCTGCCGCCGGCCTGCGTCACCTCGAGATCCGCCGGCACGACCGCCACCGCCGCCGCCACGACCGCCCTGCATCTGCACCACTACCCGCAGCTGCAGCTGCAACACGAGGACGATCTGCCGACGGTGCGCCACGCCGTCAACGCAACCGTGTCGAATTGCGGCGCCGCCACGACCACGACGACGGTACTCGTGCTGTCGGAGCTCGTCGCAGCTGACCCGGTTGCCGCCGGTGCAACTGCAGCCGCGCAACAACTGACACTCACCGCCGCCGCAGCGTCGTTTCGCGCCGGGTAAGTCACGCTTTTCCGCTACGTTTCTCCAATTTTCCTCCTATCCGCCGCGACCAGTTTGCCAACCCGATCTCTTGATCTTTATCGCACGATGTTGTCCTCTCGCTCGCAGATTCAGGCAATCGGATAACCGTCTGAGTGAATTATACGATCGCTCTTAAGCCAACGGCACACGATACGATTTTTCCCACTGGATTACTTACGGGAACCAATAAGGATGCGGAGTTTTAGATCAGGTAACTTGAAGCTAACTCCCGATTGGCTCTCGTAAGCAATCCACTAGGAAAAATGGTAACGTGTGCCGTTGGCTTTACGCAGTAAAAAGCACACGTCTGCATCGTTCCACGAAATCATTAAATATTTATATCGTACAATCCTACACAGCTCTTAACTTGATTGAGGAATTAATCGGAATAACGCCAGTGCGAATAGAGTCCTTATCCAACGGAAAGGAGATAATATAATTCAGCGAAGATTTTCGTACATCATCTCGTTGCACGACTTATTCGCGTTCGAGAATTTCGTCCAATAATCATACGTGATCGAGTGTTATGCGTTTACGTCGCAAATCCCACGCGCATATTTCACATACAATTAAATCTACCCGTGTCACAGTCGTCAAATGACGGTGGATTCGAGACAGGTTGTAATTCATCCTTTCTTTGATTATTGACTCACAATGCCCGTTGCGGTTTATCCGTATACGGCAGATGCGACCGCAGACGTTACAAACGAAATGCGCGGACACGAAAGTCGATGGCAGCTTCGACGTTAACGTTTTTCATTAACGCGTATCTCCGGTATGTTCGCAAAGTATGTCAAAAATATTGCTACGTGCGCTAGCGCGTGAGATTAAGAATATATTACGTTGCAGCGTAAACTCTCTGATTGATATCGTGTCGCTAGTTGCGCTATAAAGATAACAGCAGGTAAAAAAGATTAATGAAAATGAATCACGTTTGTTCGTAACGTTGCGAAAGGCTTTGGAAGAAAAAGGCGTGATTGCCGGATACGCATACTTTCCTTCTGTCGAGATTGCCTGGGGATACTCAAAGTGATAATATATTAAAACGAGGGGACCCGAAGACGCGGCAAAGGTCATAACGAAAAAATGGAGGGATAAGCTAAATGTCAGCTTCGGAGCTTGTTACAGGCTCACAAATGAATGTAGAGATTCAGTGCTTCGTTAGCGCGCGTATTTACGAGAGTGCGACCGAAACGGGAGTAATAATTGCCAACTTTTACGAGTTACGCAAAGCGTCTCTACCGCGATTCGTAAAGGAGCTAAATATTCCGAAGGCCGGGATCTTGCAGGAGTAATTCTTGAAAATAAGCGCGTGCGATTAGATCGGATCGATCGAGATTAAATAAACATTTATTCGGCGCTAGCCAATGGTAAAATCTTTTCCCAGAAGCATGGATGAATCAGATAAAACCAATGACGTCTGTACGTAAAAAAAAAAGAACACCTCGGTAAACAACGATCGATAATTTTCCTTTTTATTGAATTCTTATTATTGGCGAATTATCGCAAACAAGGTGTTTACACGGACGGTAGCGCGGACGTCACAGAAAGAATCGGAACGAGAGTATGCGCAGCGCTCGAGGAGCGGCGCGCTATCTGGCGCATGTATCAGCGTCGACAATTAACAATCATTGCGCGCATTTAGCCGCGAGCGGCTCGAATAAGTCACGTTGCTACGTAGAATTTATTATTATAACGAAGACTACCATCTCGTGTGTGCGCGCGCGCGCGAGCGCGCGAGTTACGCGCGCCGGCCGGGCAATCGCGGCCGTTCTCCACACGCGGAATATCGGCGAGCCAATAACCATTAACCACGCACGCACACCGGCGCGCGCCACCTTGCACTTTTGCAATAAATAAAAATCAGCCGCAATTAATCGGCGTGAGATATGCACGCGGGAGACCTTGGCTGCCACGAAAGAAAAACCGCGCCACTTCTCCGCGACCGCTTATTTTTTCGCCTACCCCGTTATTACGAGGCGAGCGGTGCCGGCCGCACGCTCTCCCGCCGAATTCCGCCGTTCCGGACTGAGACTCCTTCCCGCGGGTCCGTTTACAAAACGAGCGGCCGCCGTTTTCTTCCTCCCTTCCCCCCCCCCCATCCCCGTTTCATGCTTCTTCGCCTTTCCATTTTTCGTCGGAATACATGGCTGGACGCGTACAGATCGAAATATTCGGCCGACTCATTCTCGAGAAACGGCGAGAGACTGCCTCTCTCGCCGAGAGGTGATCCTCCATAGTGATCTTCAAAAATTCAAGTTCCCTTTCACTTCGCACCTCCAGGCGCGTCACCGAGAATTTCGGTAACAATCGAGATGTAGCAGAGAGAGACCTTGAAGAGAGATCTCGTATGTACAATTCACTCGCATTTTCGAACATGATTCTCTTCCGCGGTCGATCTTGACGTAATACTCGCGAAGAATTGTCATGTCGAATTTATCAGACTTCCGAAATAAGAAAATGTACCTGTTCTTGCCATTGCAATTTATCGCGGTGGCTTTTCAGAGGCATACAAATATTTTATTTCTCTACGCTCGAGCAATGCAGTAAATAATTGACAACAAATAATTTCCTGCGTGGCAAAGAAAATATTCCGAGTTGAATTCTTTCGTTCCCCGCGATCGAATGAGGCGAGCAAGAAAAAGGTCCCTAGAGGGCTTCTCCGCTATTCCCTTTTGTCTAGTCCTCCACGATCGGAGAACGCGGCGCGCAAAAAAGAATCCCCCGTGTTCTCTCAATCTCTTTCTGGCCGTCCATAGCCGTAGGAATGAGGGGAGAGAAAAAAAGAGTATACCAAAAGAGGAAAGGAGCCACCTCTTTCCGTTCACCCATGGTCTCAAGAAGGAAGTAAGAAAACGCGCGAATTCTCGTTTCCTTTTATTCCATTTGCACAAGGTTGAATGTTTATAATTCGCGCGCGCGCGCGCGCGGTACATTTTTCCGTAAAGCGCAATCTGTAAGTGCGAAACGGAAGAGATATATTAATACACTGAGAAAAATATCCGATTAAATATAATCGGATAATCCAATTACATGATAACAAACGGATATATCCGATGAAAAATATGATCGGTTTTTCCGATCAAATTTCATCGGTAACTGCATTTCCTCGGATATATACGTAATTTAATCGGAAACGCTAGTTTTCTCAGTGTAACTTTTATCTTCGAATTATATTGTAAAAGCGAGAATATAATACGGAAATAATTCACGTTAATTTTCATTTGAGAAGGAACGTTACTTTGATGTTTCCTATCTAAGCACCTACCTATCTGAGCTGAAGACCGATTCAAAGGGAACTGGTTAAGCTGACGTGCGTGGGTGCGCGATATGAATGAATATATATGACAGGTGATACGTGTTATTGATGTAAGTGTTCGGGAAAAGCGCAGTGTATTTTATCCGCACGCAACAGTTCAATATAATCGCGCCTTACGTTTCTTCATCAACTCTAACTCGGGGTCGTGTAAAAATTTAAAAACGTGAGGAGAGTTCGATGCGCTCCTGTCATCTCTATGCTGGCGACGTACATATAACTTCATTAATATATTTAAATGTGCGTGTCACGCAGCGTTAATTTACGGATAAAACTAAAAAAAACACACAGATGCGGGTCGCTCGCGGCAGGTTCCTTTGTCCGGCGTTATTAAATATTCGACGGAACTTTATTTTAATCTTGGACAAAGTACAACGTGATAACTTCGCCGTGAATGAACGGAGCCGGGCGAGAATCGATAAACACGGTCCGTATGTACGTCCTGTAATCGTCAGCGTGTAAAATGGAAACGGTACGTCCGCCTCTGCTCTCGGCTGGCTCGTTCTTTTAATTCGAGTTCCTTCCAAGAGAAGATTATCCGTCAGGACGGATTGATCCATCTTAAATTGAGAACCTGTCTCGGATTTCGCCGTCGGGCGAGCAACCGCGAACGAGTTTAAGCCGTGGAATAAGTAGCTTAAAGGGAGCGCGAGGAGAGCGGATCTCGCTTTCGACAAGTCCCAAATCGACCGACTGAGTTTTATCCCGCGCGAATCGCGCGCTCGTCCCGTGCTCGATAAATGTACGAACGTTTTAATCTCTCCGAGTGCGAAAGCAAATGTACTTCCACGACAATTAGTGATACGCATTACATGGAAATCTCAAATTGCACGTTATCCGCGCGCGGAGGGGAAAAAAGGCAAAGGCCGTGTCTATAAATAAATCGTCGCACGTCAATGAACGGCGAATAAAATACTTTTATGATAATTATAGCTCAGGGCTGACGTAAGATCGCGCATGTGAATTAGTGTATCAGTGACAGCAGGAAGAAACGCCGTTACCTAATGCGTGCTCAATTTATAGTCCGTTTCCTGCCACCCCATTTTGCGCAACGCGCGCGCGATACGACTTAATATACTCCTACGCATTCGATCTTTTCAATTAGCCAAAGAGTACGAGATTAGACCCCGATACGCTCGCCCGAGCTAATCGATCGTTTCCAACGACAACGACGACTTTCCTGCCATTTTACAAATAACGCACGACAAACAGGTCCGCTGCGCCGATCGATCACCGTCTCTCCCTCGAATCGGCGCCGCGTTAACCGATGTTATCGGCGACCGGCGTGTCTCTACGCCACACTAAAATAATAGATATTAATAACGTCCGCGAGAGACATCACGATACGACCTATAAACGCGCATTTTTCGCCATTCCGTAATTTGCCCGCGCGAAAATTTATGACGTTGCTCCTACGCGGAAAAGGCGGTTTTACCTCGAGGCGTTTCGATCGGCGCCGGAGACCGCACCGTTTTTTTTTCTTTTTCCATATCGCGGGCCCGGGAAAATTATTATGTTAGCGTGACGACTTCACACGTCGCCGATCACCGTCTTTTCCATCAATGGGACGCGCTCGCGCAAATATAATCCTGTCCCACGTGCAGGTCCGCCGCCGCGGTAACCACAATGGCGCTCGTCTAATGGTCGAGGAACCGAGCACCGC